GTAAATTATTGACACAATATCCGATATTACTTAATCATTACTTTAATATTTTACATGTTAATATGACCCCGTTGATCTTCTATAACATTCACCAGTGTCTCAACCATTGATTTTGTTAGCTTTAGCACCTTTACAAATCTCACATTACTCGTAACTGCTATACTCTATGTTCACACGGCAGATCAAAAAGTGGAACAATTGTTGCCATTAGCTAGGCTGCCGCTTTCCAGTTCTCACTTATCTGTCTTGATAGAGTTCAAAAGCATCTACGCGGCCTTGAGGGTGATGGATTATTTTCTATCGTACAACCCCTTTCCCACAGACTAATGTTCTGTATGTCAGAAAAATCTCTTTCGAAAAACATTTAGCCATTAGCAAGGATGCTTTATTTTTTCCTTTTAACTGAATCTATGGATTGTTTTATGTATGTATCAAGAGTTATATGAATGTTTCAGATTCCAAACATAGTCAGCACATTGATAAATAAAACAAACACACACACACACACACACACACACACATATATATATATATATATATATATATATATATATATATATATAAAGGTGTGGAGCCAGAGATTTATGGTATATAAATTATCTAAAGCTCTAAATAAACTGATCAAACGAGACTTCTTTAAAAAAATACAGCGTTAGTTCGATCAGTGATTTTCTTGGTATATTACATTCTAAAAAACCTAACTCATCACTATTCGGGTCAATATTCGGTGTTTACTTTTCAAGCGAGTATTATTGAGCAAGTACTATTAGTGCGAGTGTTATTCGAAGGCATCTGACACCAGTATTGTTCAACGGTGTTACTATAGTTGTATCTGCGATTACAAAGTCTCTACTACAACGAGCATTCGAAGGCGTCTGACACCAGTATTGTTCAACGGTGTTACTATACTTGTATCTGCGATTACAAAGTCTCTAATTTTAACGAACATTCCAAGGCGTCTTCCATGGAGTATTGTTCAACGGTGTTACTATAGTTGTATCTGTGATTACAAAGTCTCTACTACAACAAGCATTCATAGTCTTTTTGAGTATTGTTTAACGGTGTTACTATAGTTGTATTGCGATTACAAAGTCTTAATAATAAACGAGCATTCGAAAGTGACAACGAATTAGTATTGTTTAACGGCGTTTTTCATAATGTATCTTCAAACCGTATTGATTTTTCAGGAGTTCCATAATGTTCTACTAAATTGGTTAATCAATTTAAGTATAAACAAGATACTGTTGGTTTTTTTATAAAAATATATTCTTTATAATTTCCCTAGTGTTTACAGGCTATTACTTATAATAAATGATTGCTAATAAACTGGTGCTTCATTAATCCAGGTCAGGAATGGACCTGGGAACAACAGAGAATTAAGAGGTATTTCCACGCTTCTGAAAACCGACTCAAAACATTGATCAGAGGTCTTACTGCCGGATTTAGTTTATCATTTAACCCAGAAACGATAGAAATAGAAACACAAAACTTATATAATTATCCGACGCTCACACCTCTTAATAGTAAATGTGGTATTTTACGTAAACGTTCTACTACCTTTTGCCACAAATTTTCCATATGACGGTATATATATATATATATATATATATATATATATATATAACATAACCCTTAACATGCCATGTGGTGAAACAGGTAGGAAGTACCCCATTTTCATTAAAGATTTATTTATTTTATTTTTGCTCTCCTTAGACTATTGACTTACACTTGTTTTAACTTTACTTGCTTTTTTTTTCTCTTAATGGCCAAATTTAAGGTTTTGGAAGATTTTTTCGAATGTGTTCGAAGGTTTCTGATTCTTTCTTTTTTATCAATTCTTCCTAATTTTCAAATTTATTTGAAAATTGTGTATTCAGGTTTTTTCACCCACTGAGTTTAAAAAAAGTTACAGCAATTATATATATATATATATATATATATATATATATATATCTATATTATATATCATTAATTACATTTCAAAATGCACATAATCAAATTGACAATTTTGTTTAAACGTCGATGCTAAAAAAAAAAAACTAAACGTCTATCACTTGGGGAAAAAATATCCGTTTAAAAAGGTTTTCCTATTTTTTGACGTTGAAAAAAATGTGCATTTTTGTTTTTAGATATGAAAATTGTTCTAATGTAACACTGCTAAAAAAATATTTATAATTTCATTTTGATATTGAGCACTGTTTTAAAATTAATTAAAATTATTTATTGTTCGTTTTCTATACTTTGATATATATATATATATATATATATATATCAGATGAGAACGAATAAATCCAATTATTTAACATTTAATTTAAAAGAGAGCTTAATTTAAAATAGAGCAATGTTCTTTATTTTATCTATATTACATCAAAAACATATCAAAATCGACTATAGAAATTGCAGTCGTGTTTCGATTATGAATAAACGCATACATTCTCGTTTAGGGGTATTTTCTTTTTAATTTCAATAAATCGTTCAGTTAACAAATCAAGACATGCATTAAATTTGGTTTACAGGCAATTTATGAAAAATATTGCTCAAAATTTATGGAAATTTTATTATTTTTAAAACGCCTAGAAATAAACTGGTTTATATTATGGCCCATTTTTTATGGTAGAATAATTAGGGATGGCAATCTATCCAATTATTATAATTTTCAACTTTCCCAGTAAAATTTAATATATATTTTAATCTGAAATTCATAGGGTATATTTTTCACATAAATATATCCTGAAAATTATAAAAATTTTATTTTGTTAATGGGATGATTGAATTGTATAAAAAAATAACTTTATTTATTTTATAATATATATATATATATATATATATATGTGTGTGTGTGTGTGTGCGAAAGTGTGTGTGTGTGTTTATTTTTTTTTATATATATATATATATATATATATATATATATATATATATATAATATTAAAAGAAAGAAACAATTAGACATATAATCCAATGTTCTTATTTTCTATTTCTTTTTTTTAAAAATGGTGTTCAATATTTTTCATACATTGGAAATATTATAAATTAACAGATATAAAATATGGTTTTAAACAGAACTAATGCTTTTAATTTAATTATATAATTAAATTTTTAGTTTATAAAAATAGGTTTGAAACATGATAATTACTGAGTAAAAGAAACCATATTTTAAATTGTTAAATTATAATATATATATATATATATTTGTTTATATATATATATCTATATATCTATATATATATATATAAAAGATAATGAATATCTATTATGTTTGATCATTTTTTTCTATATTCTTATGTTTAAATATATATTTTCTAGAAATAAAAACAAAAATTGTCCAACAACTGGAAATTTTATAATCTTTAATAGCATTTATAAGGAAATCTCACGTAATCAAGAAAATTGACAAAATTCTTTATCACTGACAGGTTAAAATTTAACATAAGCATATAAAAAATTAACGAATATTTCATCTAGTAGTAAATATATATATATATATATATATATATATATATATAGTAAATATATCTAGTGAATATATATATATATCTATATCTATAAATATATATATATATAAATATATATATATATATATATATATATATAGTAAATATATGTATATATATTCAGTAAATATATATATATATCTAGTAAATATATATATATATATTTTAATCTAGTAATTATATATTTAATTGTCAGTAAATATATATATATATATATGTATATAATCTAGTAATATATCAATATATATTGTTAAAATATAATAATGAGAATGTCTATTATGTTTGATCATAATTCGTTCTATATTTCTTATTGTTGCTATAATTTTGGGTGAAAATAAAAGCAAAAATTGTCAAACAAGTGGAAATTTTTTAATTAGACCATACCAAGTTTAGAACGGCTCCTGATCAGACATAATAGACAGTCATTGTTTGTCATATTTAACAATATATGTTTAAATTAAGATCTACTGTGTGTGTATGTATATATATATATATATATATATATATATATATATATATATATATATATCTTTTTCATATATATATGTTTGTTTGTGCATCAATTGCATTGTGTGCGTATTTTTTGGTAAACTTTATCGCTAACGTGGTTTTTAGCAACAGACTCTATTTGGAAATACATTCAGATTCAAAAAAAATTTTGATTTCATTTTATATTCAAAGTAAAATGAAATTATTTGTTTGAAACCAAATAGATATTACTCAACAATTACAGCAGACATTTTCGCTCTCTTGAAACTGGTACAGCGATATTAACGAAACGCCAGGAAACGAAGAGAGATAGAAAAACACATCAAATTGCAAATGGCGCTTCTTCCGTTTCCGGTTCAAGATACGGCTGAGAATATCTGTCCATTTCGGGACCCGAAATGGCTATTGACATCATTACTGAAGCTGCGAATAGCTAAATGGGAAAAAAAATGACAGAAATTTAGATTTTTATGATTTTGCCATCTGAAACTTTAAAATGATTTTTCAAAAAAGCAAAAATTTAAGCAAAATGTTTTGACAATTATGCTTATCAATTTCGTCTTATATTTATCGGATGAAACTTGAAATTGATATTTTCGTTCCCAAATTCAAAACTGCTGATTACGACAAATTCTCCAGGTTTTGTTGACAGCAGCGGCAGGAACAACAGTAACAGAAACAACTATAATAATGATAATGAGGATAAGAAAAACCCTGACTGAATTTATGTAGGGACAACGATTCTTAGCGCTAATGGTAATAACAATGCTGAATAGAATAATGATGGCAAAAAGGAAAATTAACTGGAGTGATAATAATTATAATAATAAAAATGAACATTCAAAAAAATTTTTTAAGGAAAAGGTTTATTTGAAACGAAAGAAAAGAAATTTTAGGAAAAAGGAGAAAATAAAGGAAGAGAAAATTAAAGGAAAATGATAAAAAGAAAGAAAGAAGAAAAAGAGAAAAAGAGAATGAAAAGAAAGAGAAAAAAAATTAATTAAAAGAAAATATAAAGATTTAAAAAAAAAAAGAGAGAGAAAAATAGAAAGAAAGAAAAATTAAAAAAAAGAAAGAAGAAGAAAAAAGAGAGAAAGAAAGAAAAGAAAAAAAAGAAGAAAAGAGAGAAAAGAAAGAAAGATTGAAGAGAGAAAGAGAAAAAAGAGAGAGAGAAAAAAGAAAGATAAAAAAAAAAAAGAAAAGAAAAGTAAATAAGAAAGAAAAAAGAAAAAAAGAAAAAAGAAAAAAAAAATGAAATAAGAGAAAAAAAAAAGAGAGAGAGAAAAAAAAAGAAAATGAAAAAAAAGAATGAAAAGGAAAAAAAAGAAAAAAGAAAGAGAGAAAAGAAAGAAAAAAAAAAAGAAAAAAAAAAATAAAGAGAAAAAGAGAAAGAAAAAAAAATGAAAGAAAGAGAAAGAAAGGGAAAAAGAAAAAACAAGAGAGAAAAAAAAAAATGAAAGAAAAAAGAGAAAAAAAAAGAAAGAAAAAGAAAAAGAAAAAAAAAAAAAATTTGGGAAAAAAAAGGAATGAGAGAGAGAGAGAGAAAAATGAAAAGGAAAAAGTCTTTCAAAAAATCAAAATCGAAAAAAAGAAAGTAAGAAAAAATAAAAAAAAAAAAAATAAAAAAAGCAAAGAAAGGAAAAAAAAAAAAGAAAAAATAAATAAAGAAATTAGGTTTTTGGAAAGGAAGAAAAATTAAAAAAAGAGAAAAGAGAGAGAAAGAGAGAGAAAGAGAGAAAAAAGAATAATTTGAATAAAAAAATTTTAGAAAAAAAAATGAAATGGAAAAAGATAAAAGAAAAAATTGAAAAAGTGCAATAAAAAAATCTTCCAAAAAGAATTCCCAATGAAAAAAAAAAAAAGTAAGGTCAAAACAAGGAAAAATCTCTTTAAAACAAAAGTCAAGCAAGTATGAAATAAAAATTCCCCTTAAGAAAAAGAAAAGAAAAAAAAAATTGAAAAAAAAGAGATAAAAATTTTAAAAAAAAGAAAAAAATTTATAATAGGAAATAAAAAGAGAACAAGATATTATTTAAAAATGAAAAAATTTTTTAAAAAAAAAAGAAAAAAAAAATTTATAAAAAATTTCAGAAAAAAAAGAAAGAAAAAAAAAAAAAAAATAAAATAGAAAAAAAAGGAAAGAAAAATCATTTAGGATCAAAGAACCCCAAAAGGAAAGGAAAGATAAAAGAAAAATGTCAAAGAAAAAAGTTTAGAAAGTAAAATTGGAAGAAAAAGAATCCATGAAAAAAATGATTTTTTTTAAAAAAAAGAGAAATAAAAGTTTTCTTAAAGGAAAAGAAAATTTTTCTGAATGAAAAAAAAAGGATTTTTGAAATGAAAGAAGATTAAAAAAATTTTTAAAAAAGGAAAGCAAAGGAAATAAATAAAGAAGAAAAAAAGGAAAAAAAAAAATGAAAAGAAAACATAAAAAATAAAAGATTAAAAATTAAAAGAAAAAAAAAAAATAAAGACGATTTTAATTTTTTCAGGAGAAGGAAGAGAAGAAAAAAAAGAAAAAAGAAGAGAAGAAGAAAAATTATAATCTGAGAAAAAAATTAAATGAAAAAAATTTTTAAAAATAAAAAAAATAAGATAATTCCCAAGAGAAGAAGAAATAAATAAAAGAAAAAAAAATAAAAAAATAAAATAGAAAGAAAAGATGAAAAAAAAAAAAAATGTGAAAAGAAGAAAAATCCAAGAAAAGAAAAAAAAAAAGAAAAAAAGAAGAAAAAGAAGAAGAAGAAGAAAAGAAGAAGAAGAAGAAGAAAAGAAAAAAAATGGGAAAGAATTTTAAAACAAAAATTTTAAAGAAAAAACGATGGGTAAATAAACGGAAGAAATCGAAAATTTTTGGTTTGAAATAAATATTGAAAAATAAAATGTCAAAAAAAAAATGAATATATTCGAAAAAAAATTTTCATTATATTTCTGATATTTTTGTTTTTTAAAAATTAATTTTTGTTTTATTTTTATTTTAAAAATCAATAAACTAAAATGGATTTAAAAACTCATTAATATTATTTATATGGATATAAAAAATAATAAATATTGGATTTTATATAGATAATCTTAAAATGAGTGGTAAAGGAAAAAAAAAATAAAAAGACCAAAATAGATAAATATTTCAAATAGATAGATAGATATTTTAAAAAAAAATAGATAGATTTTT